AAAGAAAAAGAATATCTTGAAGATAAAGTTTTGATGAAAAATTTCTTCTCTCCTTTTCTGTCAAAGTCATTAGACGAACGGTACTTGTATTCGAAAACTTTCATATGCTTCAGACGGCTGATACCGTTGAATTCTGAATACTCATCAATATTCACTTGAATACTGTAACTCTATTCGTTTTAATTGTGACTCATTGTTTTCGCTGGGTGACCTTTTTTTTTATAAAGGACACGTTGGCTTTTATATTGACACAGGATTAGAATATGAAAAGAAAGATATTTAAAAAGCGCACTTGAGACTTTGTTGTATCATTAGTAATACGTGTGTCAAAAGATTCGTTATTATGTTGTTTCTTTTTTGGCTATTCATTTTATTTTCATCATCAATAGCTCTTAAGTCATTGATGATTAGTATTGGTGCAGGTGGTCATGTTATTCCAATGTTCGAATTGGCAAAAGCGATGAAACATCATCATGTGACATTTATTACCGAATCTTATGCACAATATTTTATTGATTTTGAATCCTATCAGCATTCGTCTTCATTTCGTATTCTCTATACTAATGAATCAAGTGATGCACCAATCGATGAAATCAAAATACAAAATGATCTCGAGGAATATGTTACTAATCATTCATTGGTAGAAAATCTCTCTCAACTAATATCGTCATTGACTCGAAGTGTTGACACACTATTGAAGAAAACAATTCATATATTAATGACTGAACAATTTGATGTAATTATCGTTGATTCATTCATCCAGGGTGTTCACACTCTCAGTAACGAAACAAATATACCATGTGTGATCCAAACTGCCGGAGTCAAGTTGGATCAGTTCAATGTCAATCTACCCAACATGAACTCATTTCTATCATCAAAACAAATCACTCAATTTAAATATCGTATCTATAATGCTGCATTTCATCTACGTTTAATTATCTCAATTGCAATGAAACTACTACCGTTGCTCCCGACATTTTTTCGATCGCCTCCACAAATACCCGGTCGATTTTACGAAACATTGACCTTAAAAAATCAAATTTTCACAACAACTAAATGCTTACAATTGTACAATATTCCAGAAACACTTTTTTTATCATCTGATTCCGATCCTTACAAGAAATATCTTGGAGCTTTTATTGATGAATCATTTACTTATAATATTAAAAATGATCTGGTCAAGTGGATTGAATCCAAACCGAAACATTCGATTATTTATGTAGCTTTTGGTAGTATTGCACGAATTCGAATCGATCGAATGAAAAGTTTAATTGAAGACCTAATGGAATTTCTTTTACAAACTTCTACTGCGTCAATCTTATTCACATTTCGTCAGTACAATTATGATAACTACCAAAAGGTGAAGAACGAGATAGAGATCAACGTATTTTATCGGATGAACAACGTTGTAGAGTTGAAAATCATTTTGTTCCACAAAAATGGGTATTACAACAGAATTCAATCAGTCTATTCATAAGTCATTGTGGCATGGGTTCCATTGGTGAAGGTCTTTACTTCCAAAAACCAATACTATGCTTGCCATTGTGTAAAGATCAATTTGTAAATGCCATGGCCATTGATCATTCAGGTGTTGGACAATCTCTATTTGTTCCTCCATCCCTATGGCAATCATTGATCCAACTGGATGGTTTTCATTACTATACATTTTCAGCAAATGATGTCATAAGGAAATTACTCACCATGTGGAAAAACACTACATATGAGAGAGCAGTCCAAATGATGTCTCTTGAAATGAAACATGCTGGTGGAGTAAAGAGAGCTGTAGAAGAAATTGAATTCTTTGTCAATGTTAAGGGTGATTTAGATCGTTATGTACCATTTCAGAGTAGTTTACCATTTTATCAACGATATATGATTGATTTAATATTGATTTATATGATTTTACCGATCACAATCATCCTCTATCTCATTCGAAAATGTTCTGGAAGCAATAGAAAGAACAAAATAGATTGATTAAAATGTTACTGACACAAGATATTAGTAGATTCTTGTATATGCTTCATATTTGTCCTGAACTTGATGTAATAGGAATACAATTTCATAAACAATGTGAAATAATTCATTTGCACCAAAGTTTTCAAAACAGACTCATATTGAACACAATAATACAAAGATTTTGTTTTCAATTTTTTTTCTATTTTACTAATAGAAAAATTAACGTTTTTTTTTTGAATCCATTTTAATTTTCTGAGTGTTCTATTGTTTTGATTGTATGAGTCATAGAGTAATTGATATTTATTGTTGTATTCAACTTTTGGTATTATTATGATATAAGATAATTATTTGATTTAAAATTATTTATTGCATCATTGTGAAAATATTTATGTATTTCATTTTTTGAATTCCAGCGATTCAATCACATTCACTCAATGCTAAATTTTTCTATAAGAATCATTATATGTCATATACCTGCGATGGCACTATTCAGAAAAAATTAGGTTTTAATTTCATTAGTACTTAAATCATTTATTATGTTCTCAAATCGCGATGATAACACATACACATGATATAAGGCACCGTTATCGTTTAAAATTTCCCTTAACTCATCTCTGCACGTTAAACGATGGATTTAATCGTTTTGAAAAAATATAAAATATCTATATGAAAACTCAATTTTTAATATTTAATTATTTATCTGAGAATCCTGAATGGAAATATTTTTTTCATAAATCACTTGAAAACATTCTACTTACTAATTGTTAGAAATTCGCGAATCATTCAAAGTCTTCATGTCCCCATGATCAGAGAAAAAATAATAAAAATTTATATTCTTTGTAAAAAAAATACAAACAAAATACTCTCTAACTGTATAAAAAAAAATTTTCAAGCAAATTTCATCAATCATTCAATGTCTCCATTATTCGGAAAGTTATAACGAAAATTTATATTCATTGCAGAAAAAAAAGAAATACGTACTCAGTGTATAAATATATATATATATGTTACCATATCTAACTACCTGCACGTATTTCGTTAATGTAAAAGAGTTGATGAAAATATGCTTTTACTTTTTTTTCATATGTTAAATAAAGTTAACATTCGTTCTGTGCGAAACGAGAAAAAAATGTAACGTACATGCTAGTTTGTCTGACTACTTGCTTTTTTCACTGAAGTGAAACGAAAGCAATCTATGCATCAGTGATCAATATTGTAAAAGAGGGTGACAAGTGTATTTCTCTTCATATTTTTTTATTCTTTTGCATTCATTTGAATTCATAGTCAGTGTTTTCACTCGTTCATTTTTGACTCCAATTATCTTTAGGCATTATTTAAAGGTAACTATGAATATACTATTTTCATTTAGTCTGCACTATTTAGATGATATCTGTTCATGTCAGAGGTCGTTGCTCTGATGAATAGTGTAAATCGGATTCCTGTTCTATTTTTGTTCTTGTGAATAAGCAAGAAGATCAGCAGCTTACAAAGAGGTCGAGAATACGAAAGGTGCCTTCTATTCTTTGAAACTTTTTTGCACAATCCATTCTCGTGATTTGAATATTATGTTCTACGTGTTGTACACATAAGCTACTAACAAACATGCTGATTGATTCTTACGTGAAGCTTCAATTCATGTATCAGAATCGACTGCAACTTTGTCTTAGATATTCTTTGGACATATGTGATGAAGTAAAATACAGAACTTTTTTCTCTGCAATATAATTTAAATAGAAGTAGATTCAGTAGTTCCGAATTGCTAGATGCTCTAAGACAACACTCAATACGTTGTGTATTTAACACAAGGCGATCAGACAATTTTTGTGATAATAATATGACGCAGATTAAACAAAACTTTTTCATTTGCAGTCTGTAATTGCACTAAAATCTAGAACACATAGAATAGATTAAAGTCGAAACCACTAGTCCTGATGCTATTCTAACTAAAACATGACACAGATGGAGCCTGTCCAGTTTCTTGAAGATCAGCACTAGTATTAGTCTAAATAGGTCAGAGCTGGCTGAACCGGTCGACCTGACATCTGAAATGATACCGCTTCTGGTCATGGTTGGTAGCAATTCTCTTTTAGGACAATGTTATTTAACATGGCTAGGTTTCAAGAAAAGCTTGTTAGTGCAGCTCCTTTGGGACTGAAATGTGAAATTCACGTATCTTCTTTAGTTTGCAGTGGCGTAGCCAATGAAGGGGTAAATGAGCAATTGCCCATTTCATTTGGAGATTTGCCCACTGTAATTTTTATGAGTAGATTTTTGCCCATTGAAGTTTTACTTTTTCAGAATTGTTTATTTAGTGTTGAATTAGATAGTAACTCTATTTTTATTCTTCCGTCTGAATCACACATACACTTTTTACTTGTTCTTTCCGTGAACAATTAAGAAAAGAAGAAGGAAAGAATTGCTTCTGGTATTTTAACCAGGGTTACTAGATGAAAGACTTCGAAATCACTAGGAGTAACTTCTTGCAAACCAAGGACTATCATGTTGACATATTTGCATAAAATGCTTTACCTTTTTTGTTTATCGACTCATACTTTATTTTCAAAAGTATTTCATAGTAAAGAAAGACAACACAAACATTATATAGCTTAGAGTGAAAGATCGTGTATTGTAAGCTAAGGAGATTGATCATAGTCAGATCAAATGGATGCACTCACTGTCAAACCAACTAATTAAAAATATGAGCTGCCAATAGCGTACACAGACTGAAATATTCGAATTTCAAGAAATTTACAGTTTGTTATATGCCAACGCTACGAAATTTCATCAACATTTAGTTTTCTTTTTTCGTCATGGTTGGATGGAGCACGATTATTTACATAAGAAAAAACAATATGTCTTGCTGTTTGCTCGTTACAGCACTCGCTATCGATCTAATGTTATGCGCCATTTATTGAAGAGTTAATTTTGAAATACGTTTAGAACACGACATTAACTTATTGTTCGACAAATTCTAAGATTACTCGCAAAATCATTTGATTAGAAAAATTAGTTCAATTTGTCAGCTACGAGATGAAGCTGGCATGTCACAAGACGTATCGTACTTGGGGATGCTGCAAGAGAACAGTGATAAAAAAAAAGATTAAGTTAATCAGACATGACCTGACCCAATCACAAGACTCTTTGATAGCTGCTATACGGTCATACTTCTCCCGTGATAAATTATCTCGCCAACGATTCTCCAGTATCAAACAGATGCGTAAAATAATGACAAGAACCAAACTAGCCACCACCGTTCCAAAATAAATAAAAATGTTACGCCGATTGGTTGACTTATCATAATGTACCTAAAAAGAAAGAAAAATAGTTGTGAATTTAACAATAGTAGCAACAGTCTGACAAAAGGCAATATAATTCCACCAATTTGACCAATACCCACAACAAACCCGATAGCGATGGATCTCTTGGTATACCCGCCGACATTATTTGTTAACCAAGAGAGTAACAAAGGATATGCCGATAATATGCCACAACAAACAATACAAATACTGACATATAGTGCCGCTTGGCCTCGATCGATCAGAGTGAGCATAAGAATAAAGCCGACTAGAGTAATAGATAGACAAAATATGAGATGAAAGGCGTGCTCATTTCTTCGTGACGACGAATAACTAACCAATAAACAACACACAAATGCGAAAACGTAAGGTGGTGCTGTCAGTAAATGTACTTCAGCTTTCGAATTACCCATATCTTCGACAAGCAACGGAAGATACGTATTTATATATTTGATAACACCCAAAATACCAATATCAATCAGTGCATACAAATATATTCGCCTATCGACAAAAACATAGAATACTTGTCGCCATGAAAGTCGAACATTTTCACCATTGGCTATGCCTGCATCGTGTCGGAGAAGATTTGTCAAAAGCTGTTTTTCACTGTTATTCAACCCTTAATTTTTAAAATAAACAAGTTAAGAATATTTCTTACTATCCTGTGAACTCTTACATTGTACAGTATCGGGTATATTGCTGAGAAAAAGACAGGTTATGATACCAAGAGGAATCATCGGCAAACCTTCAAGCAAAAACATCCACTGCCAACTGTTTAGACCACGAATACCATCCAGGTATATGAAACCATACGCCTAAATTTATAATAAGTATCACGTATCTTATGAAATCGATGAGTACATACCAGAATACCACTCAAAGCACTAGAAATGATGGAAGCTCCAAAAAGAATAGCTATTCTCATAGTTTGATCTCTTTTACGATACCAGAATGAGAAATATATGACAATACTGGGAAAAAAGCCTGCTTGAGTCACACCCTTCGACGAAAAATCAAAGATGTTGTGTTATTCATAGAGATTCGATTCACTTACAAGAAGAAATTGAACAGACAGTAGTTCTCGAGCATTTCTTACGAAAGCCAAACCAACAGTGATACTACCCCATACAACCAAACTCAGTGACAGATAACGAGTCGCGCCAAGATAGCGCATGAGAATTTTGCTAGGGACTGCAAAGATTAACTAAAACAAAGTATCCATTCAAAAATATTGCCGTTCAATAATGTAATTTTCTCACATAGGCCAGAAAAAAGAGTGAAATATCCCAATTTCTCTCAGATTGTAATAAATTCAGATCGCTTTTGATGCCCATCAGTTTCGTATGACCTAGAAGACTACCATTAACAATGGATGATTTAAGTCAAAGCTGCCTACCAGTGTTGGTTCGGTTTATGTATGACATCACTTCGATGAGAACCATAAATGGAATGAGTCGCCAATCAAGCTTTCGAACAAGGCGACGAACGGCGATTTTTTCGAATTGTTGCTGGATTGCTTCATTAATAACAAAGATGTTATCCATTGCCATGTTAGCTATTGGTATCGGTTGGATACGTATCGACGCAACAGTTACACTTAAAGTGAGCGATACATGGCCATTAGTAATAAAGATGTCAATATTTGTTTTCATACAAATATGCAGCATATTTTTCTTCTTTTCTGTTCTTTAGAAAGTGACACAAATAGGAGCTGTCATGTGTAAGATGAAAGAAAAAAGGTAAAAAATTCATCTATGGAAGGAAAGTTATCGTTTCCGCTCAGTTGCGTTACCAGGTAACCCAAGGGGAAAAAAGTGGATCCCGTGAATCCTAATGGATCCTAGTATCCACCAGGCACCGCTTTTTCCCTCTTGACCTGTCTTATTACGATGGTAATATCATTGGTTTTAAAATGATGGACGAGGATCCATGATAGAAAACTTTCTTGACTGGCGTTTGTACGAAACGCTTTCAGAATTTATCAATTCATAATTTTATCTAAATATGAACAAGAATATAAAACATACAGAACGAATGAAATTATTCTCTCGCAGGTCGAGAAATCTGGGTCAGTTCTCGCAGGAGAGGATATTTCCGATGAAGGAATCCGCTAACCAGATTTATCAGATTTTCCCCGAAACCTTCTGGATCCTGATAAAACCGGCAACTGAATACGGTCACTGGATTCCTACATAGATTTCCCTGGTATTTTCCGGATAGATTTCGTAACTGTACATTCGGAATATTGCTTCAGGAATCATCGACATGGGTGCAATTCATCTAATTTCACAATTTGTCAAGATTTTTAAATTAGATATAACAAACTTGAAATTGATTGAAAAAGCTAAGCTATCGGTAGAAGTTGATCTTTTACACTGAACAATGATATATTTGTAAACTGGTGCGAGGAAATTCGATACATACTGCTAACGAGAATTATATTTAATACTTGTTTGATTGATATATATAGAAATCTGCCACATCGTAGTGTGAATGTGAACAGTGATAGTCAATGTAATTTTCATGCTTTTTTTATAGTTTTTGTTTAATGGCCTTAAAACGGAAAGGTAGTTATGTTAGGAATTGACCTTGTTCGTACGCTTCATTGGTGTTGTAAATTTAGCTAGTTTCGAAAAGAAACACAATATGCATGTAAAACTTGAAAAGCTTCAAATCCAGAAAAAAGAATGTATTCATATGTGAACGATACTTCAATTTTTTTGCTTTCATCTTCAACATTAAATCACCTTTGGTTTTTCATCTCACACACACCAGTGTAGAAGTCCGAATATCGAGAAGTTGTTACTTATACCTATGTGACCATGATAGCGAACCACAAAAAGACTTCATCTTCCCGAAAATTAAAGAAAGACAATAAATATCTAACGAAGCACTCATACAGTTTCTCATACAATGATGGTAATAAAATATGAACTTATCTTTACATTTGCTAACAAAACTTTAAACGAATTTAAAAGCAATACTCACAAAAATAAATGTCAAAAGATATAAATTAAACGTAACAATATTGCTTCAATTTATTTGTCCTTCAATAATCTAGAATATCACAAAATACGAATTATATGGTCAAAGTTTAAATCAAAATCACATGTTCCAATGAAATATAAGCAAATATTTTCTATAACTGTTGAGATTTTATGTCCATTCGTATTGAAGTAGACGTTATAAGGAAGTCATCTTCCTGCAAAGTTTGAGTTCTGTCAAACATATAGCGTGAAAAAGAATAGCATAACTATCGATTCCTCTATTTCAGATGCCAAGATTAAAAACAATCAGAGAATAGATTTACATTGCAGGGAAAAAGATTGTTAGCGCAGTCCCTCTGGGGCTGAAATGTGAAACTCACGTATGTTCTTCAGGTTCATTATACTAATATCAAATATAGAAAGTATAAAATCAAGAATTTCTAAGTTTCTTAATTTTCTGATAGGCGCTCTTATTTTTTCGTTTTCATTGTTGCTATTCGTTCAGTAATTTTCATTTTTCACAATTTTTTTGTCTTAATTTTATATTTTTTTTTATTATTATAATGTCTGTAACGGAGGTTCCGTTGCTAAGTGTCCGTGATGGGAAGGAGGGGTGGGGGAAACCGCCAAAACTTGAACTTAAAACTTACACTCACTATCTTCTTCGAAAACATACGTGAGTTCCACAATAAGTGAAAGTCAAAAATCATATACGAAGTTAAAATGTGTCTTATTCGAGTGTGGGTTTGGGTAAGGTTTGGATGTGGATTGTGTGTTTCGGATGTAGGTGTGGGCGGAGTGTTGGTCTCCTTACGGTTCACATCTACACACGACGACGTCAACCAATACTCTTCCCGAAATCTTATTCATTCAATGCCCTACTAGGTAGATTCCCAGTTGCTTTTTCTTTCCAGTTGAACTAACAACTGCTGGTCATGTTCGAGCAAATCCTAGGATTACCAAAGACACTCTATCGATTGATTGGTATATGTGTGGGTCTTCGTCTTTTCTCCGCGTGAGAAATAGAGTCTCCAAAAACTGATTGGTAAAAAAGTCGACCAATCAGATTTCAGGAGCCCACTTCTTTCTTATTGCTCGAACAACAATTAGTCATATTCGGGCTAATCCTAGGTTTATTGAGGACGCTCTATCAAATGACGTGTATATGTATGAGGCCTCATGCTTTTTATCACCGATAGATGGAACATCCGGATTGTATTGATTTTTTTTTAGGCTTACCCGAATTTCGCCAATAAGACTTTCGCCAACTGGACATTCGCCAATGGCGAAAGTCCAGTGGTGCATTGGCGAAAGTCACCGGGTTATATTGGCGAAAATACAGTGGACTCTCGCCAATTTACGAATGTTCTGGACGTGTATTAGCGAAAGTATAGTGGACTCTTACTAATTGAAAAAAATTTGATGGGCTTTTACTATTTGTCACAGAAGAATATAAATGTTGGATATGAGTGAGGAGGATGGGTATCAGTATATATCTTGGTGCTGTCTATTAATCTACAGGGTGTAACATAACCATTACGCCCCCTCTAGAACTTAAAGTATAAATGATATCAAAGAGTATTATATACCAAATTAATGCTAGTGAAAAACTGGATTTATGAGTATAATTAATAGATCTTAGAACAATTATTGGGTATAAAATTACTGAAATGTCTTGAAATACATGCCGAAATGCGCTCGTATTTTACGATTTTCATTCTTCATCCAGATATTTTCACCAAAAATAATAGCAGATTTGTAATCTCCATAAAAAACTGCATCTATAGACATGTCATTTGTATCTTTTTGACGAAAAAAAATTTTTTTCAAAAACCTTGCGTGGTGTGTATTTTAGGCATAAGATGCGCATTCCTCAGGATTTTTGAAAAAATTTTTTTTCGTCAAAAAGACACAAATGACATGTCTATAGATGCAGTTTTTTATGAAGATTACGAATCTGCTATTATTTTTGGTGAAAATATCTAGATGAAGAATGAAAATCGTAAAATACGAGCGCATTTCGGCATGTATTTCAAGACATTTCAGTAATTTCATACTCAATAATTGTTCTAAGATCTATTAATTATACTCATAAATCCAGTTTTTGACGAGCACTAATTTGGTATATAATACTCTTTGATATCATTTATACTTCAAGTTCTAGAGGGGGCGTAATGATTATGTTACACCCTGTGCATGTTGCACTGTTGAATGCACATTAGACTCTCGCCAATTGGCGAAAGTCACCAGGGCATATTGGCGAAAGTCACCAGAGTATATTGGCGAAAGTACAGTGGACTCTCTCCAATTGGCGAAAGTACAGTGGACTCTCTCCAATTGGCGAAAGTACAGTGGACTCTCTCCAATTGGCGAAAGTCACTGGGGTATATTGGCGAAAGTACAGTGGACTTTCGCCATTGGCGAATGTCCTATTGACGAAAGTATTATTGGCGAAATTCGGGAATCCCTTTTTTTACTGATGACGCAGATTTTTCTTGTTTGCTAGATTATTTTATTTCGGCAATCATCGGCATGACAGGATCCAAGAACGTTAGCGCACTGTTTGTGATCGTGGTTGATGGCGTAATGCTGTCTTCGTAGCATTGGTGGACAATCTAAGGGGATCACATTATGATAGAGCTTGAAAAACCAAGGTTAGTTTATATAATACAAGTTTAAGGCCTATGGATACCACTGTATAATCGAGTTTGAGATCCTATGGAAACCTCCATATAATACAGGGTCACGACCTATAAGTACTTCTCTATAATAGGATTTGAAGACCTCGAGGTGCCCCTCTATAATAGAAATTGGCCACCTGTCGATAATGGTGAACTCTTTGAAAAGGCTCAGTTCATTGAAAAGAACTGTCCAAAGAGTTCAGTTCATTTGATGAGAACTGTTCACAAAGTTCGATTCGTTCCAAGAAGCAGTTCAAGCGGTTCAGTTCATTTTAAAAGAATCGTGTGAAAAGTTCGGTTCGTTTGAATGAGCTGTTCGAATAGTTCAGCTCATCTGAAAAGAGCTGTTTGAAAAGTTCAATTCGTTCGAAAGAATTCTTAGAACAGTTCAGTGTATTTGAAACCAATCATTTGAGAACGGACAGCTCGCTTAAAAGAATCGTTCCAATAGTTCAGTTCGTCTCAGTGAGTATTTTCAACGGTTCATTAGTTCTGAACTAGAGCTGAGGTTGTCATTCTCTAGTCAAGTTTGAATGTGTTGTGATTTGCGATACATTTTATCTTACCATGCAAAAGAAAAACCAGTCGATATTATCTACAAAAGTAGTACCAAAGGAAATTAGAATTATAGTTAATATCAATTCTTTTTTTCTTTATCGACTTATT